ATTATATTGGTCCTGCTCTATACCTGATCATTTATCACTATATCAGTAATTCCCGTCACAGATTTATTGGTGTTCTATTTTATTTAGTCCACATAATTTATTTCTTTCTAAAGCCAATTCTGATGTCTAAGTAGATGAATCAAACGAGTGTTATATGTTCATATATAACATGCTTTTTGATCACTGGGACAAAAAGGGAACATACTATTTAAAGACATCTTTAAAAAATAATCATCAAATTTAAATGCTTGTGCCTCAATGAGATAAGATTAAATACATTTTTATAACATTAATAAAAGTTAATTGTATCCACAACTTTTTCTCACAAGTTGCGCACAAAGCTCATGTTTTCCTTTCCGCCTGAACTAAACTGATATTGTTGAAGTTTGCACGGCTTAAGTATTATATTTATTAACATAAATTAAAAGTAACGCATTTAAATTATCCTGTTAACGTAAGTTGAAGTCACGCAAGTGTTTCAGTGGTGTATGTTGCGTGAAATGCTATGTTTGTAATTAATTACGCGAATACATTTTTCTATGTATGAGTTTATTTTTGTAACTAGAAAATAAATGGAATAGTCAAATGATTTTAACATTAAAACAAAACTTCTTTCCTGGCATTGTATTTGGAAGCAGTTCCAAATACTAGATGAAATTTTTATTAATCTTTCTATGATTTCGAAGAGTTCTGATCTGTTTCGATGAACTGCTTTTATCGGCAGGTAGAGACTTTTTCATTAATACTTTTCTTGAAATAAGTTTAAATTGTATTCAAGCTTTGAGGATTTGTTGCTAACAATATTTCTAGAAAAATCAATGTTTATACGAAAAAAATCTTGCTTTTTAAATTAATGTGTAAACTGCTGAGGGATTCAGAGCACATAATTACAATTTATGAAATAAGGCAAGAAAATGAAAATAAAATCATCCATCATAATGGTCGGTTGCGATAAAGCTTGAATCACGATAGCAAAATATTGTTTTTGAAAAAGTTAAGTGGATATATTATGGGAAAAATAATAATAACTTGAATAAAGTTAGAACGTTTGAATTAAAATAAATATTATTTAATTCGAATTGCACAAAGATATATTATCCTTTACTATCAGTTATAGAGATAGGTGTACTACACAAGGGTAGTAAGTAGTAAACACTCACTTATTCTGATCAAAATTACATACATATATGTATGTCTGTAAAACCAAAATGACTTATAAACATTTTATATTGAATTTTTTTTTAAAGGGATTCTAGTTTTTTACTAAAATAAGTCTTGAAACAGTCATAACATTGTTTATTTATTACTAATTTTGAATAAAATAATTTAAAAGTCATACATTTTGTAATTATCCAGCGCTAGTTACGCGGATTTGCACTATCCCCGACGAAATTTTGATCTTCTCATTCATTAAAAGGGTTTCCCAGCTTCATTAGTTACTGGTAGTTGGTAAATATGTAATAAACTTTTAAGTGATTTTCTGTTTTCGGTATTTATGGCCTTAAATATTTCATTTAGGGAACAAAAGTAAAACAAAAAAAAGTAAAGTTATTTGGTTGAATTCCGTCTATTAAGTCAAAGCCACCAAAAGAGATATTGAACACTAGGATTCATCTACATGAGCAGCATGTTGGCAAGTTTAGATCATGAACGTTTAATGGCTGTAGTTGGCGTCTACTGAAAGAGCTCCCACTCTCGCGATACTTCAACTGTAATGGTTAGCGGAGGGTGAAATATAACCTAAATGTATGCTTGTCGTATGATTGCTTGTCGCTTGTGTAAATGAACCTTTAGCTTGAATCTGGTTATACCAAAAGCTTAAATGTCTTAGATCTCATTAGATATGCCTCATTTTTGAAACGTTTTTATTTGTGGCTATAAAAAACATTGTTAAATGGTTATAATAAGTCAATTTTTCACCTCCTACATAATAAAATGCACAAAGTTCTTCTATTACTTAGTTCGCACTAAATTCTTTTATAAATTATATATTTCATTGTTGACTAATGTTGTATGGTTTTAAGAGTCACCGGTATGATTAAATAAGTCTGCTTTTTGATTGTTAGCAATTTATATATTTTTTTGGTTTTGGCACAAAGTGGTTTTTAGTTGTTTGGAATAAAACATATGAAATGTTTGTTTCGAATACGTAGCTAACCTTTTATACAAATTTCAACTATGAAAGACAAAAATATATTTGTAAACATTTTATTCATTTTATTTTTTTCCATTGTTACAATTCGAAAATAATAAGTCAGTGATAATTAAATGAAAGCACCTGTGTTGTAATTTGAGCAGATAAAAATGTTCTTATTTTTGATTCGGTATTGTAGTCTACAACATTCCCAAACTTCTACTAAATATTACTTTTAAATAGTCATCGTTTTAGTTCGAGATGGGTTTTGTTTACGTAAAGTTACAAAGATTATAATTTAGTTAAAAAAATAGTTCTATGTTTGTTAGAATCTATTTCCATTTTCAACTGACAATAGTTTTACATTTTTTAAAAGTGTGAGAGTTCGAGAATTGGACCATTTATCACCTTTAGATATTTTATAAATATTGTAAAATATTTAGCAATGTTTTTGTTATGCAACAAAAATAAATCAAAATATCTGAGACATTTCACTTGTCATATTTGACTTACTATTTATGTAAATTTTTAACATAACAATAATTGACATTTACAATTTATACGAATTAATAACGTAAATAGCAATCCTGCACACATCATGAATATTAATTGGAATAACAATTGTGGTCCACAAACCTAAATTCGACCCGATAATCTGCTATTGATATACACTTTAGAAATCACGTTTATGACCTTTAAGCTGTATATTAATATATGCTGACAAGAAATTTGACGTTTATAACGAATTTTAAAATGTTGGTGTCTATTTGATTAATTATATTTCGAATTATGTGCTCTTTATATAACTTCGTCCTATTTTCAATTGTTTAAATATTAATTTGATTTATTGGTTTATAATTTATATTCGATAAAATCTTGAGATTCTTCCTATTTCCTATTGTAAAATATTTCTACAATTACGTTTGACATAATATTGTTCGTAAATTCTCTTTGTTCTTATTTCACATGACACAAAAATGTAGTCAAGACACAATAGTCTGTATCACAGGACTATATACTATTGCAGCAAGCTATTTTTCTACTTCGAAATTTGCTATCATTTTATGTGTGGGACAAAAAACTAATTGTATTTTTTGCCTATGTACAAAAATGGCATTCAAATATGTGTTGCAACTGTCTTAAGTATCTAGCTTAATAAGGGCAAATAAGTTATTTTTCTTATTTTTAATTGGTTAATTGACAAAGTAGACAAAATAACGAACGTAATTTATATCACCCAATAGATTTATTTTTACATTAAACATTTCTCCATAGGAAAACTTACTATTTTATAAAGGTAATGCTGTACATTGATATTTAATGCTGTACATTGATAATAATTATTATTATTGATTATAATGAAAGATTTATTTTCGAAATAACAAATACTGCTTATTATTTGTTTGTCTTCAACTGCAATAATATTAAAATTATAGTACTTAGTTTTGAGCCTTTTAGAAGATTAATGACGAAAATTTTCACAAAATCATTGTATGGGTCTTTAATCTTTGTCATTAACTCAATCACACAATACGTTTGTATTCTAAAATCTTAATAAATAGAAAAGGATATTTCTATAAAAAACTTCTTTATCCAAGAGCATATTTTGAGACATCTGGCAGATGTAATCCAATAACGCTACTTAAGGTATGACGCTTCCAAAATCGTGGTAAGATAATCGTCTTCAAATTTTTAAAATACCCATGTTTAATAGATAGTTTACCATAAATTAACTAAAATCTTTGTAAATGTTCAGAAGAAAATATCATAGGAATTCATTAAGAATGATTGAAACTATTATATTTAAAGAATATAGCTATATTTTTGACATTTTAAAAAACTATCCAAAAATATCTCGCTATTTTCATTAGATAAAAATACCTAAGGAATTAGGTATTAATGCAAATATACAGGGTGACTGGTGAATTACTATCGATACTTGAGGACGTGATATTTGACGATCATATATGACAAAATAAAAATTAATATAACATAAATATTAATAAACTTCTAAGTAAAGTTAACCAAAAGTTGTGTAATTAATTAGGATTCGTGTGAGCACCCTACAGATTAGGTATACACTCACACACACATACGCGTGCGGCGGCGTAGTGTTGTATCACCACGCCGCCGCACGCGTCCACACTTGGAACACTTGGAACGTGTCAACACTTTATTTATTTATACGGAAATTTTGTCAAAAATTAAGTACCTATTTTTTTTACATAATTCGAATGAGAATCATGTACCGAGTATTCTCCTTAAATATTGATAGTAATTCACCAGTCACCCTGTATAATGGATTGGATATTTTTTGTTAAGATAACCAATTTGCAACAAATTATTATCTAAGAAATGAAATTAGTAAAAATGATAAAGCCTTTTAATAATGCGGAAAATTGACATATAGAAAAGAATTAACTTACTGGACGAATGATTGTTTTAACAACTGTTAGATTGTTTTTGTATTTGTAATAAATACCTTACCCTTCATGTATTGCACATCTTTTGGTCGTTTAGTTAATATTTATTATGTAGATGTACATCAGTTACTTACTCAGGAAGGTTTTTCCTTAATGAAGATGATTAAAACAGAATTTTTGTATATATTCTTGCCGAAGGGACGCGAGGAGCTCAGTTCTGTGTTCTAAGGAGAATAATAGTTAGCTAATACTACATTTCTCAGTAAAATTACAATTTTGACTTGTTTGACAACATAAAAATAAACATAATTTTGCTTGATTTTGGTTACGGATAAGATATGGCTTCAATAACACAAATTGTTTTTTGGTAAATATATATTACGTGACACGATTTTATAATGAATTAAAATATGATGTAGTCAAAACTATAAAATAGCAGAAAACTAGTGATCTCTCTTGATCCTATTGATTTTTCTTTTAATTCGTTCCGTGTATGCCGCGATGATATTAGATAGAAGCGGCAGAGCTGATGACTTCTCGTCATCTTTCACACCGACCTCGGAACACAGTTCAGCACGAGTTTTCCTAACGTTTGGCATTGCAGCCTCCGAAGCCATCACAGATGCAGTGTAAAGGTAGCCATTCCATTCCAAATATTCTTTGACAAGCTCATTGATTAATAACACCTCGTCCGAAGGCTTTGGAATACCAGCACTCTTGAAGCCAGGGTTCAATACTTGTCTTTCCTGTAGGACTTCGGTTACTTTCGCTCGCATCTGGAAATATATTGCAATAAGAAGGAATATCTTTCTGTTATATTTACAAATTAAAGTCCGTAATGGTAATAGCTATTTACAAAACATATGTGGGTTATTAAACCTATTCTAACTTCATAAAAAATTATGCGTAAGGCAGTAATGGAAAAGTTATTAAGATTAATGAAGGGATATTACAAATTAATATAGGGTTTCTAGCAGAGATCTTTTTTAAGAGAAGTTATCTTTTGTGAATCAGATTCTTTTATGATATTGTAAATTATGTGTGTATTTTTGGCAAATAAAAATATGAATGTATCAAAATAATATGTGTTAAATACAATAAACACTTCGTGATAGTCTTCTAAATCATTATTTTAATGTTAGCCTTAGTAGATATTGTACAATAAAAAATATTCTCAGAAAAGTAAATTCAGCCAAGTATCTTAAAAAAATATGGTGGGTTGAGATTAATACATCCCACACCCCCAGTGCTGCTCTCTAAACAGTCACGAACTGTCGATATGTATGTCGAATGATAATGACTGCGTTGCTTGAAGTGGATTCTAGTTACGCCGGGGCGGGTCGGTTATGTAAATATTTTATTATATAACCAAATTCAGGGTCAAGAAATTTGACAATCAATTTGTCTTAAGTGGCGTCGATAATAATTTATATGATATCAAGTCTCGAAGAACCTTTATGTATTTCTCTGTTTTTTTTTTGTTTTAGGTAATCTATAAAAACGTTGAATGTGTATAAATAGTTTCTTTTTGCTGGGTGAAAGAGGAGTTTTTTCTTCCGCATATAGGATATATTCACCCTAAGGCTCTCAGTGCCCCGACGAAAGTTTGCAACAAGAACAAAGTCACAGCAAACCGTTAGTTACGCAATAAAATTACTCGCAAAACAAGTTTTTATTTTTTAACTGTGGCCAAAAGGGGACAAAAATAAGCCAGTTTGAATTACTTTGTTTGTAGTATTTTGTTGTATTTGGTTCTTATGAAATACTAAAGTTTAAGGGAAAAGACAATGTATTTAAAAGAAAATGAATGTAATAGAAGGCTGTTTAATTAAATAAAAGCATCCACGAACCTCAGTATTCGTTGGATAAACAGAAATCCTTTGTAAAATTAATTTAGAGTTGCTGCTGAATGTTTAAAAATTAAGCATTTCATTCAAGTCGGTAACGGCATTCTTTCAGTTTATAGCATAAACAACAAAGACGCATGTTGTTACATTAGAACAATACTTAGGTTTTAGTTAAAAATTATTTCATACATTGATTAAATTTAAAAAATAATATTCTGTTTTATGAACAATTTATGGATATAGATATGAGTTGAATTTCCTATTAGTTTATATCATATTTTTAAGAATTTACAAGATATTTTCCGTTTTATTATATTGTGAAAAGGATTTTGGTGTTACCTTTACCCTATTAGCAACTATAAGTACCATAGTATACCAAATAGCAGATGTGGAGGAGAAAAGGCGATCTTATGCAATTCTATAATATCTATATGAAGGAAAACGTTTGTTCTTCTAAAAGAGATCATTTGAATAACGTAATAATTAATTTGTTATGAGAATTTTGAATAAATACCTCTGCTTGAAATTTGTTCAGATGACCGCTTTTCTTCAAAAGGTTTTTTATAGCATCTAGGAGTTCCTTTTCCGAAATCGTTGGATTTTCACTCATTATAAAAATTAATTATATTATTACAACGGAGCTCTTTGAAATGGAATATCGAAGTGTTACCGGAAATTAATTTGTTGTTTCCGACACAATCATTTAAAAAGGTCAAAAAATATTTTTCCTTACTTTGGCATAAACAAATATGTCATGGTAATTATGTTAATATTTTTATCACCAGTATTACATACATTTGTGATTAAATCAAAAAGGTTTGATGAGTTATAATTTATAAATATATATGATATGATAAAAATGTTCAGAAAGAGTTGTAGTAATTTATATATACGTATACGATTTAAACGTTGTACTTATTATGAACGTATCACCACTGAGTACACTTATCTATAACTAGCTATAGTTCAACCTTTTCTGGGAACGAGTATACCAATCATCCATAAGTGATACGGCTTACCGATCGCGGCCAAAAGAAACCATTTTATATTAGTGTATGAAACTGTTCGTGTCATAGAACGATCGCCTAAATTGCTCGTCACAGGCGATATTTCAAAATCAAATTGCTCCCTAGCGCCGTCGTGCATGAAATTTCCGTACACAGCAATAGTTTAAAAAAACTCGCTTTTGTTAAAAAGTATTTAAATCGTCAAGCTACGTAATAATGTTATTAATATTTAGTGATTTATTAATGGGATTATATTTTAACGACGAACACCTCTTTGCCTTAAACGTTTTCGGTGTTCAATCACCTGATAGTAACTATTAGTTTTAATCAATATGCTTATATATATAAATAAAGTGCAAGGAAATGTACCTAGTACTTACTAAAAATATAAAGGTATTATGAAATACAATACCTTTTAGAGGTCTAGTTATTTAATATTGTTTAGTATTTATAAGTGCTGTAGTTGATGTATTGGTTAAAAGTTTTAATTGTTGTATATATTTCGTCTTTTATACTTAACATTTTGCCTTTTAATAAGTTTTTCAATACCCACATTAGTATTGCTCAATTTTGTTAAATTATAAAATCACCATAAATTATTTCAATGTTGAATATTATTTTATAAATTTTGTCTTTCCTGTCTGATTTAAGTGTATTTGTCATTATTATATTGCATGTGAATAAAATCTTTACCAAGGAATGATAAAGATAAACCAATATAATGACAAATGTATAATAATGATTCATCGGTTTATTTTAATTACTGTAACATAATATACTACTTTTAGAAAATAACGTGTTAAAGTTAATTAATGTTGTTTTTGGTACATCTTTTTCACTTTTCTTAAAGTATCAATTAATTATTTATTAGGAAATTTTATACTTTAGTGATCAAAGAATCTGTTTATCTTTGATAAATAATATTTAAAAACTTAATTAGTTTGTGGGACATTTCAACTGTTAAGTTTACCTGAGATTTACCTGTCTAAATTACAAATTTTAGGTATTCTTCATTATAATTAAAAATCAACGTTGTTTAAAACATTAAAAAGTGTTTCTTCCTGTGAATATGCAAAGGTAAATATTGTTTTATTTGAGTATAACGAAAACTAAATATTGTCTAAGTTTTTGTTATCTTAACAAATAAAGTTGCGTTTTGTGTTTATAGTACACAAATTTTCTCTTGCAACAATAATAACCTCTTTTGTCTCTGAACAGAAACATTGTTGTACAAATAAAACAAAATACGTTAAAACAAGCTTCCTTCAAAAGACATTAGTGCTGCACTTCGTAACAAATGTTGTGGTATTAATCTGCAGGCTACAACTATTTCAGACTTTATGGCCATTTTTATTTACCGATTCAACATTTATAATATCAATTAAAATTACGCAACTTACATGTTTTACAGAATATGAAAAAAAAACAACAGCAAATCAAAAACCATATAATTCTATGTGGAAAAATATCACCTCTTATATTATCTATCTAGGCAATTAGTCCCTTGGGGATTCCAAATAATAAGCATTTTTGTCATATTTCAAATGTTTGTTATTTGAACGTGTATATTATTAAATTATACAAAACTTACTTGAAACAATGTAGTATTTTTGATAGTTCTTGAGCAAATAAGGGCTTAATTGCTTATCTATAAATCATTGACCATTATGCTTAAATAATTTAAACGTATCAGTCAGTCAAATTCACTAATTTTTATGTTATGTTTATAATTAGCAATTCATTTTTCTTATTTTCGGTTATGGCTTCTGAACATAAAACGCTATTTTTGTACATCAAGTCTTTCTTTAAAATAAGTAATCTGTTTCATCCAATCAATGTTAATCATTACAATGTCGTAAAGATGTAGTGATATCGTTATCGTGTCTTAGAGTATAAAAGTCTGGACAAATGATGTTCTTGCAGTGACCGATTTCAGGATCGCTGCGAGGTTTCCCGCAGTTGTTCTCATTGATCTAGAATAAGATACATTCAACAAACTTATATAAATCTCGAGCTTAATAACTTTATGTTTGAAATCGCTCTAAGCTACAGTATTTAAAACGAGTAAATTCAAATGCTTGGAGTGTTTGTACATATAACTTAATTTTTTATTAAAAGGAATACGATGTTTGAAAAATATTTATATAATAATTGTTATTGTAATACTTACTGGCAACTTAATAAAAATAAAACATTTATGTAATTATAAATACTCATAATATAATGAAATTTTATTAAAGTGCACTTGGAATACTAGAGCATAAACAGGATAGATGTGAAAACAGGTCTGAATTGGGTCAATTTCCAACTGTCCGTGTTTTGTTGTAGTTGCTCTAATTGTAGTTACCCTGTTACTTTTAATTATAAGATTATAGAGGTTTATATTTATAATCTTAAAAACGTCTTAAAACTATGTTAATGTTATTTACTAAAAATAAATAGGGAAATACCACATGAATTATTTATTTCATAATTTTCAAACTAAGTGTTATAAATATAAAATGCTTTCAAGATATTTAAATATCTTGAGATTAGAAAAAATAAAATCCAAAAGCAATTTATACCAGTAATCAAATCAGAGGTAATGCATTTTCCCGTTCTAAACTCAGAATCACTGCCATTTTCGTGACTGTTCCGCGTGAACCATAGAACATTTTTAAAATTTAAATGTGATGCTCGCGTTTTTAGGACGTTTTATTCTTGGTAAAAATATTTATAGGTCAAACCTGATTTATACAATTGTTGAAATTTTTGTTTGCTATACTCGTATACAAAAAAATACACGGACAAACGAATATTTAATGATTTTTTCGTGATATAGAATAGGATATATTTAAAGCTATATTTTCGTATTTTGATGAATTTACATTAACTATATAAACACACTTTCATCGGGTGCGGTTTGTTTCTTTGTTATAAAGATTCTTTGTTATGAACAAAAGATAGAAATGAATTTAAACATTTCAAATTATTACTGTATAAAACATTGGATGTGGCAAGTTTTACTTTATTATGTAATTTTAATCTACAGTGTTTTTTTTGGAAAGACAAAAAAGATAACGAAACAAAGGGCTTAACAAGTGCGCTAAAACTATGCTCATAATTACTTCAAATTATTTGCTGCCGTTGAAAGCTTTATGCAAACTAATTGTATGTCACTGTATTTGTTACGTCCGAGCTTTGTTTTAAAAATAATTTATCCCATGATAGAGAACATTAACACTTATGTATTACGTTGACATAGTAATATCAAGAAAAATACGACAAAGAAATACTATTTTGACAAAAATTCTTGTCACGAATGCCAATTTTAAGTAAACGTAACTATTGAAATGTATACCATCTTATTGTTACATCTTGGCAAAGAAACTGCCAAGTTACTTAAAGTAGATCATTTGGAATTTTTAATAAAGGGCTTAAAGCGATTATCTTTTTGGCAAAACCCTTGTCTGTTTAAAATAAAACATATACTACACTATCGTAAACATTAAGAATAAACTTGTATAAGAGGATGAAAATCCTTTTATACAAAGTCATGTTAAGAAAATAAACTTCACAGCTACGACTAAATTAGCAAAACAAACAGTTATTATAATAATTTACCCAGCGTCCCCTTTTGCGTTTAATATGTAATACGATTTGCATAACTACTTTTTGATGAATTTTTTCATACGGCAATAGTTTGTTGACCGAGACTTACCGAATACAACCGATTTTTAAACTTAGAATGCAAGGTGAGCTTTAGTAAGTCTTTCAGTGTTCAGTATAGTGCCGACCGTTGAGGAGTGAGGTCGTATCGGACTTCTTATTTTGCGAATGGTTGTGACAGTGACATGAACGTGTGTATATTTATGTGTTAAAACTATGTAAGAAGTGTGTGGATTCATATTATTGTTACCAGAGAAATTGAATAAAATATTGAGGTATATTTATTTTATATCCAATCGATAAATATTAATTACAATTTACATTTTTATCTTCACTATTATTGACGTTAATTATTACTTGTCCAATCTGGATATTGACGGAGAATTTGATTACATTAAAGCGACGAATGCATATAGAGCTTTTGTAAACAATTTAACACAGCCTAATTCACGAAACAATATTTGCTCTTTCTCGATAATTATTAATACTGGTAATTTGCAAGTCACATTCAATTGTGTCGAAGCTATTTGTTAAGCATGTAATTGGTTTTGTAGATATCAGATGTGTATGAGTTAAAAATTTGCGAAAAGGTTAAAGTATATAAATTTATACCCGAAGATAAATTATTTTCTTAATTTTCGTTTAACATTGTTATAGAAATTCCATGGGGCGTAATAATGCGTAATCTAAGATTGAGAGAGATGATATGAGATTGTAATTTGTTTATCAATTGGTATTGATAACAAAAATTAAAGTAAAATATATATATGTTTTGAATAGAATATTCGTTCACTGCATAGTTTCTATGAAATTGTGTATAAGATGTTGTACTATGGCCTTTGCGTGTCAAAATTTTATGTAGAACAATACAATACAAGGTTTACTGCAAATTGGTTTTGTATAGAGTTAAGTACGTATCAGAAACATTGACACTTTTCATCTGAATAAATTCTTA